TTCAACATGATATTTTTCGTAATAATTTCTTACACCTTGCTGCCAAGTTGTCCCCTCCTTCTCGGCTTGATCATATCTCTGGTGCTGCTCTGCAAATGCAAAGGGAGCTTCAATGGTTTGAGGTGCATATGTTCTTTTCCGAATTAAATTGCCCTGGCTCCCCATTCTTGGTATTTTTTTAATGCTTTGATATTGGTTGATGTTGATTAGGAGTTGAGGAAGATTCTACCCCCAAAGTTCGAGGAAGAATTGAATGAAAGCAGTAGGACTCCAGCGTCATTATTTTCTCACGAGCACAAGGAGCTGATGAAAGACGGGGAGAGATGGATGAAGAACAACGCCGCGTCATGCATGGTGGTAGCCACTCTCATCGCTGCCGTCATGTTCACGTCGGCTTTCACCGTTCCAGGCGGAAACGACGAGAAAACAGGCTCCCCGATCTTCCTAAAATCCAATGCCTTTCTGGTGTTCATCATTGCCAACTCCGTCTCCCTGTTCGCTTCATCCACATCCGTGCTGGTTTTCTTGGGAATTTTAACGTCCCACTATGCGGAGAAAGACTTCCTTCAATCATTGCCTGCTAAATCCATACTTGGCCTTTTCACCCTCTTCTTTTCCATTGTGACCATGATGATTGCGTTTGGCTCCGCCATTTTCATCACCCTCCAAGCACGATTAGCTTGGGTCTCAATCCCGGTCATCGTTCTTTCAACCGTTCCCATCGCTTTCTTTACATTGTTACAGTTCCCTCTCTTGATCGAAATGCTGGTTTCGACTTATTGTTGTCGTATCTTCCATGAGCCCAATGCCCCCAAACTTGAATAACTTATGGCTCAATGGATATCGACAACAAATCGTATCAACATACCCTATTTTGTAATTTGATTGGTTTTCCCGGCTTGTGTTTTTCTTATAATGCGAAGCTACATGGCTTGTCCACAATAATATTCAAGTATTTTGTAACATGTTTATATTGCATGTTGTCCACTACAATATATCTTTTAAATAACAAAAATCAACCGAAACAGTGGAGAATTTAACCATGAGGTCGCTTAATATAAATATAATGAAATTAAAGAAATCAATAGAAATATGAAAAAAATATTGATTTGTTTTTGTTAATAACTTGTTAGGTGACGGTAACCACTGTCCTGTTTTTTTTTCTTTCTAATTTATACTTTAAAAAAACATGTATTTAATTAAATCTTTCAAAAAATAAACATGTTAAGTGATTCTTAATTTTATTTAAATTTTTAATTAAATCTTTAAAACGTTATTCTTTGTAGCCAAGGGCAGAGAAAGGATATATAGATTACGAAAGATGATCTCCATGGAATAATTGTATTCTCAAAACCTGCAGAATGTAAAAAAAATGAATAAAACTAAAGTTGGGTGAGACATGTATTAGATAAATTTCATCATATCCTCGACAAAATAAAAATGATGCCACGCTGTCTTTAGCTAATGGCTGAAAAAATGGACCAGTTTTACATGATAAATTACAATAAGAAAAATGGCCCATGCAATGAGATTTCTCTCGACTCTGCTGCACCAACAATGAATAAGCTGTGAAAGAAAAGAAAAGCGGGTGAAGAAGTATGAGGATCTAAAATTGCATTCCGGCTCGGTATACGATTGCTACTAGCTTCACACAAAATGATGAGTAGGGTATTCATGCTCATATCCATTATAATCATAATAAAGCCTCTCTCCCTTAGCAATATCGCGAGTAGCAACCAAAAGGACCCGACATTCACCATTCACACTGTACCTCACACATTTGCAGTTCAGCTTCTTCTTACCTTCCCTGCACAAAATTCTACATGTTTTAATCAAATTAGAGTACAACACCCGAACAAGAGGCCTCTTTTAAATGTGATAACTCATGCAGATGAGTAGACAAAATAGGCTTGATATGTTACACGATGAGACGTTAAGTAAAACTGAAGTTGAGTACTATGATCTTAACTGAGACACAGTGTTCAACACCAATGAGATAGGTTATACAGGCTTACGGGGTATGATTGTTAATGCCATTGATAAAGCGAGCAATGTTTCCACGTTTATCAGGGCAGATTACAAGACTTTCAGATGGGTTTGTTGCTAAAAGAAGGGTCATCATGCTATCACAATCATCATTTTCTCGGTTTCTAATGTAATCCACATCTCCTGTGTATTCCGAGATGAAGGTCATATCCTTTATCTGGGCATCTGCTTCTACAGTATAACTGCACCACATGATCAGAATAAACTATATTAAATATGCAGTTAAGCAATATAACTGCAGCAGTGCAATCTCAAGCTAAAGGTACCCTTCACATGAATCAAAAACTACTATAAAGGGAGGACATTCGCCTCTCCTACTCATTGCTCTACATAGTTCCAGGGTCTCCATATCTTCCTTCGAAAGAACCTGAAAGAACAGCATAAACAAAGCTAATATGGAACATAATAGAATTAAAAGTTCTAAATGAAACAATCTCTGAAATTCAAACCTGCATGCCACCATTTTCAAACTTGGCCTGATTAGCAGATCTAGGGGCCATGCCAGAAGAATAGGTTAGTTCATCACTGAATTCCATCTGCATTGTTGTTAAAGCAGAAGCAAGGGTGCCCATTTGTTTCAAACGTTGCTTAGGATCTTCCGATGGTATAAATGGCAAGAGTCTCCTTCGTTTCTTTAGCAACACCAATGATACAGAACGCCTGCGACGCTTTCTGGTATCTAGAAGATCAGCCAGAAGAAACAAGGAAATCAGTTTCTATTTGTCAACTAGGGCGAGATGATGGCCATCAAGAAATCTTCACAAGATCCAAATTTAGCAACATGGTCTCACACACTCTGTGCTGGATGCAAGTACTATGTGCATAAAAAGGCCCATGCCTAATCTTCAAATTGACAGGGGCCTTAATAAGTATTTCAACCAAAGAACATAGTCAAATACCCTCTCAAAAATGCCTTCTATATTTGCACTCTATAAAATTAATGAAATATGGAACAAGTAGTGATACTTTGCAACTAGCCGTCTCTGGCATTTAATAAGCAATGTATTGCAACTAGGTAATATTTTACCTGAACTTTCTATAAGAAAAATCCATATATGCAGAATGTAGCATATCACACATTCTAACTTCGACTATATGCAGGCATAAAGGATGTATGAGTTCGTCTCACACGAAAGAATTCAATATATCAAATGACGATTTAAACATAAAAACATGTGATCATAGTTATAAATGTTTTTTGGGGCTTGTTATAAGGTGTATGAGCACTAGTGCAAACTGCTTTCTATTAACAATTACAATTATTGTTGAACTATATTTTGATATAACAATTTAAGACAAAGTGTTTTTAGACTTGAATTGAAGTTATTCAAAGTTTTCAAAAATAATTCAAAGTCCTTAAAAGTGGATTTGAGCACAAAATGATTTTCACGTACAAAAAGTATCGATATTGTTCTTATAGTATCGGTACCTCATGAACAATACCGATATTGTTCATATGGTACCGATATCAAAGGTAAGAGAAGTATTGATACTACCAGCATTGCTCAAATTCCAGAATGTAAAAATAGTACCGATACCCAAAGGGTTACCGATACTACTTTACATAGTAGTATCAATATCATAGGCATAGTATCGATACTATCAGACCCCAACGGCTTGTAACGACTAGTTGATTTAAAAATAACAAAGATAGTACCGATAGTCTCTTTAGGAGTACCGATACCCTCTGTATTTGGACAGTTTTATTTTGCAGAGTTTTCTTCCCAAACGGCTAGAAATCATCTTCAACGGCTAGAAACGGCCATAACTTTATTTCAACATATAAATACATGAAGGATTATAACACCTATTCAAGCATTCAAACACAAGAGAAGAATTTTCCAATCTTATTTTATCTCTCTTGTAAATATTAAGTGTTTTAGTGAGCTTTATTCTGTAAACATCCTACTTTTGAGAGGTTTTATTGTTTCCTTTTTACTTTTTGTAAATGTGATTTATTCTAGTTTAGCCAAGTGAAAAAATTAGGAAGTATAAAAGTTATCTCTTAATCATTAAAAAAAAGAACAAACTAGTAAATTTGTTGAAAATTCAGATACTTGATTGATAAGTCGAACCACTATAAATTCTTGTGTCAAATTTCTCTATCTTTTACTTTCCTTACTCCTTAATCAAATTATTGTCAATTTTCCTTTACAACTTTTTCGATTGTCAATTCGAATCTCCGCAAATCCTAACAATTATTTTTCACCTCTCACAGGGAGCTTTGTTTACATAATAGAAATATGATAGTTAAAAATAAGTCGAGTTAAATGTTACTAATTTAATAGGTTGAAGAGTTTTGCTTTTATCCAAGTTTCGCATATGATATGAAAATAGCTTCAACATATGATTTCATCATCATTTGCAGCAACGTTTTCAAGTTCCAACTCAGCACTTTTCCAGATCCCTGCAAGGTCCTAGATTTTTTTACCATTAATCTAATTTAATTTTCAGCAAATTTCTCCTTTCCCTTAAACTGAAAGATTATACTCATTTCCAAACTCAAATTTTGCATGAACCCTGAAACGATGTGAGAATTTTATGAATGAATTTCAAATATAGTAGCCATTCTCAAATCAACAGGAAACACGAAGAAAAGACGAATGAGATAAAAAATTGCACATTTTTACCTTGATTCGACGTGCATTTCTTTTTCCCATCACCAGTCTTCTGAATCTTGAAGAAATCAATTATCTTCTTCTGCGAAAAACCTTTTAAAAAAACATTTATAATAAAAACTGGAAAATTTTAAAAATGCAACAAAACGATTTTTTTAAAAAAAGAGATAAAAATCCCTACTTCTTATTGGCTTCTGACCAGAGCATTTGGGGCAAAGCCAGGACCCAATAGGAATACGAACCACAATAGGTCTAAGGCATCTCATATGGAATCCTTTATCGCATTTATCACAAAGGAGGAGCTCTTCGGGACGTTCGCCGGAGCCGCATTGTTCACAGATGATGTCACTGTATTCAGCTCGCTCCACCACCGCGTATTTCGCACGCGCCAAAATCTCCGACATGGGTCTCAGCTTCCTCGGCGGCGAAGAAGGAGACGGCAGCCGGCGAGGTGCCTCGGTTCGGCGTCGGGGGCTGACATGACGCCGAGCCGCCGGCATGATGGTGGCTGGAGAATGGAAATAAAAATTGTGTGTTTCTGGTCTCGCGGGGAAATCAGAAACGGAGAAGACAGAGAGAAATTTGTTTTCATTTGTTCTAATGTGCGCCGCGTGTGCGCATTGAGTTCAATATGCGCATCCTCTCGCAAAGCCTGTTTTCTCTTCTTAATTTTCCCCTATTTTTCTGGACAGAGTCAAACTTTTCATGGCGTACGGTTGCAACTTCCACGGTGTAACCAAAAAATAAAATTAATTTAAAATATTTTTATTATATTGTCACGGCCCAAAATTTTGATCTGCGATGTGTGTCTAAATATCCGCATAAGAAATTATATAAGCGGTGCTGGATTTTCCTAGACCATCAAATTTGGTCGGGTCTTACAGGATGAAAGCATTTTTCATTTAATTTAAGATAATTGTTTAAATTAAGAAAAATAATTTAGATTTTTGATTTGAATTTAAATTTCTTGAATAAGATAACATTATGATATGATTTCATTCAATATCAATTGTTGATGTAATTTAATCTAGATCGTGAATTTAAGATAATTCAATTATAAATAAGAGTCTCCCTACTCATTTAATCAATTTATTATTTTAAGAATAATACAATTCAAGTATTTACTCTACTTTTTCTCTTGTTTCTTTGTTTTATGAGTTTCTTAGCTTTGTTTTGTGTCAATTTTTTAAGCTTTGTTTCGTGCCTTGTTGTCTCTTTTGGTGGCCTAGATAGTCTTAATAATATTTACGTTCCACAAGTTGTTCAACCTTGGTGGCTTTTGTTACCTCGAATGTGTTTGTTTTTGCATCTTTGTTAATCCTAATTGATTTGTTCGTCGTTTAGTGAGTTTGATTTCTCATAAGGATGTGGTTAAGGTTGACTTAGACAACAATTTAATAAGAGAAAACGTTTAAGGATACACAAATTAGTTAGTCAAAATTCTAACCCCGTGACAATATGTATAATTTTTTTATTTGTATTCAAATATTTTCTTTTAAAATTTCAAATTATTATACCTTATATATAATTTCCCCACTTGTGGTGCGTCAGTGGGAGGATCCTGAAACTGATCATTCGGTGTTACGATTTTACCTTGTTGAAGCTCGTCATTTAGACTCTAATTCACAGGTTGTTGTCTGATATGTCTGTCATGAACCCAATGGCGCAGCCCACTCCCTAGCATATTATGTCTCTAGTTCCGTTATACTTTTATATTTTGACTATGTTTCTCCTTATTGTATTGTGAATGTTGTTGTGACCATGAGTAAGTACGATCACCACGAGTGTTATGTGCCATGTCAATTATATATTACTTTCATATCGGCCGTTAACAATGAATAACTGATTTATTATAAATTGATAAATAATAATATTAGTAATTAAATCGTTATTTTTAAAACATTAGTAAAAAAACTTGCTAAAATATTAATAACCATTTAATTTAGTTTACCCTTTAAATTAATAATGTTAAAAATATTTTTCTATTACTCTTTTTTAAAATCAATATTGCACTTAAATTGAATAAATAAAAAATCTAGAAATATAAAATTGACAATATCAATGATTTTTTTAAAATTTTTTTATTAACACATTAGAGTAGATTTAGTAGCTTTTTCAAAATAATATGTATGCATTAATATCTTTAGAAAGCTTCATATATCTGTAATTGGGTTGAAAATAATATTAATCTTGTTAACAATATTAGATTTGAGCAACTGCATCTATAATATATATATTCTTAATCATTAAAAATTATGAACATATACTATTTTATAATCATCGTATATTATTTAAAAAATTAAATTTATATGTATCAATAATCTCAATAATATATTCTTTAAGATCCTGAATTAAATGATCGAGAGTTATAGTTAAATACGTATTATCTTATTATTGCCCGTATTAATAATAAAAAAAATGTTATAAAGCACTTGTTACTCTCCGTTCAACGCGAGCCTTCTATATTTTCAATTAAAGCTTATCGTCTGCCTTTTCCATCCTTTTTTTTTTGCTTAAAATATACATTCCAATTAACACAATCCAACTAGATCTAGACTCACCGCCCACACCCGAGCCCGATCTTTCTACCGCCATGGATCCACCACTTTCCTCCGCCCCTAAGCTACGACTAATATGTAGCTACGGCGGCCGCATCGTCTCACGTCCCCAAACCAAATCATTTTACTATTTCGGCGGTGAAAACCGCTTACTTACCATCCCCGCCACCGACAACACCACAACCACACTTACACTTTCTTCCCTCACCACCACCTCTCCACCTTTCTCCGCCTCACCATCCCATTTACTCTCAAATACCAACTTCCAAATCACGACCTCGACTCGCTCATTTCCATCTCGACCGATGATGATCTCCAAATCATGTTGGAAGAACACAAGAGAATCTCTTCTAGTTCTACCGCCGCATCTTCACGTATCAGGCTGTTTCTTTTTCCTGTTGGCAATGGCGATAAAGCTGAGTTGACTCATCCGAAACGAGAGAGTTGGTTTGTTGATGCTTTGAGGAGTGCAAGAATGCGGTTTGGAAGTGAAAGTGGTGAACAACCTGAGTCCATTCCTTTGGAGACTTCTTCTTTTGGTTCTACTTCTTCTTCGCTTTCCTCGTCTAGTTTGCCTCCAATCAAACCCTCACCTGAATCAATACCAAGGTAATAAGAACAAATTTTGATCTTCCTTTATACATGAAAAGAAAGGAGCTTTTGTGTCACTGCATTATTAAAAAAAAAATCTTTGTTTTGCTCCATGGTTCTGTTTCCTTATTCTCTTAGAGGCAGCTAGTGGCCCAATTGTTATACTTTTTTCCCTGAAAAAAAAGGGTTCCCTGTAAATGAAATTTTGTAGAGATTTTGACGATTTCTATTTTTGATTCGTTTTAGCTGATTACGGAATGAGCTCATTAGTTCTTAGATTGTTGCATAGAAAGGGGTTAAAACTTGAGTGTCAAATTTCTAACTTGATAATTTCTGCTTAAATTTGTGGGGATTGGAAGAAAATTTGATCAACTATTAGTTTAATTCAATAGGCTAAGTTTAACTTCATATATGTTCAAGATGAATGATTGGTTTCATAGTTTATGCTTCCTTTGACTGTGAAATTTTGTCTCATTCCAACAGCGATGAATGTCTCGGGAGTGCTGTTTCGAATGTGCAGACTGGAACTTTTCAAGACCAAGTTGGTCACATTGCTTCAATGGAGAATAGGCTCTGTTCTAACACTTTTGAATCAGACAAAAAATTTGCTGATCCTTCCTCTGGGATTGAGATGCATAAACCTGTTCATTCTTATGGGTTTCCGGTAAATCTGATGCATTTACCTCAGCAGCAAACACAAGTAATTCACGAGGATACCCATTACGTGCCGCCAAACATGCCTGGAACGCAGCCCGTTACGTCTTATTACACAGTCTATTATCCGGTGCCACAACAGCAGCAGCAGCTCCATTATCAGGCAAATCAGCCTTATCCAATGTATTATGCCCCTGTCGCACGAACTCAGCCCTACAATATACCTATGCAACATGGTATGGTTCAAGCAGCAAGTATCGGCCTTGGTCAGCCCCAAGCTCTTCCAAATGCTCCATTGATTCCAACTCAAGTGGTTCTCAAGGAGGTTGCAGCAGTACCTCAACCTGTAGCTGACTTAGCTTCAGAACAATACCAAAAAATTCCAACAGGGCACCAGTATAGTAATGTACCTCATGCTGAAACTGAAACAACGTTTGCAGGGGCTCAAAGTCAGCACCAACATCAACCGTTTGATGTTGCTGCTGGTGAAACCACGAATCAAACTAACAAACTTGATGACGACCCTGCTCGAGTCCAAATATACAAATCTCAGCCACCCCCACCAATGTTGCCTTCACAGTATCAAACAATGACCAAAGCCACGACATTGCTTTTGTCGGAGGCTCTGGCAAAGTTGCATACAGACAATGCTGAACAACAGATTACGGCATCGGAACCATAATGATTCGATTCTCCATCTGGGAAAACAGTTTGGTAGTGGTGTCTTGCTAACTTATTTCTTGTGTTCCACGTTTCCTTTTTTTGTTTTTTCTTGGAAGTTCTGGAAATTATAGTATTCCAAACAAGGTGTTGTATGATTGAATTGTCTCTTCTGATCTTCTCATAATCCCTCTTTTAGAGAAATATAACATTTGTTTATGTAATCTCACTAATGGAATGGAGATTTTATTATAAATGTTGATTATTTGTCTCTTTCTTTACTAAAAGTACAAATAGATGCTTCTAACTGTAAAGAGAAAGTAAGAAAGAGAGCTTTTGTCTCTGTCATTATTTGCAATGTTGGGCGTGGATTGGGGGAGTTCATTACATGCCTTGGTGCAAATGGTTACCTCGCTATTGAGGTGCAAGTGGTGGACATGGGAAAGTTTAGATTTGAACTATATTATATTCAACGCTTAATTGAAAAATAACCATTTAAAGTAGACCTTTTATTTATTTATTAGAGAGTAGGTGTTTAACGTTTTTTCCGTTATTATTTTGACAAAATATCAAAAAGAAACCCCAATGTTACTAAATAGTTATTGTGGCCCATATTCTTTTCTAAAGCGTTTGAGCCCTCAAAGTTTCATTTTGAGACAAAAAGACCCCTATATGGATGAAAAACATTAGTTAACGAACTGTTAATGCTCCGAAATAGGGGTAGTTCTACACCAAAATGGAATGTTGGAGGCCAAAATGTTCTATAAGAAAATAATAAAGGTCAAGATTATTCAGTCAAACGTTAGGAATCTTTTTTCGTCCTAAAATGAAATGTTGGTGGCCAAAATGTTTTAAAAAAAAGAATGTGGGCCAAAATGACCCTTTTGATAAATTTTATAGGCTAATTCTAGGTTAAAAGAAATCTGCCAATCGTTCAAAATATGATATGACATGTTTATAAATTTTTAAAAATTATTTAGAAAATCTTATATTTATTATTATTATTAAAAAATCTTAAAATCTCTCTAAAATCTAAAAGGTTCGCATAGCTCTAAAACACTTAATTTCAAAATTTCATTAGTCATCCATTCGTTGTCGATCTTCCACGGACCAGCCATCTCTTCATCGTCACCAGATTATCTCGTGGCTGGCCACGGTGGTGATCATGATTTGCCCATGCAAATCAAATAACTTGAAATTGAACGCTGTTTGTAAGTTGTAACCATGCAAATCTCAGCAGAACATTCAGGACCTCCATTCCAATTAATGAACCTTTATAAAATAGATGAACGATGACAATGAAAAAGTTTAGAGTTCGATTCTTAGATTTACAATGGCAAAAAAGTAGATACATTTTTGTGTTATAAGGAGTTTATCTCTCAGTATCAGTTCTTAGAATGACGTTGAAGCAGCCCCCAATGTAGATAAGGTCCTAATAAGTACCGACAACGGCAGTCGTCTCATAAACTTGTCGGCGACGAGTGGAGAAGGGGTGATTGAAGGATTAGAGATTTAAGTTTAATTTTTAGGGATTGAATGGATGATTAGGGGATGGCGATAAGGAAGCTTGGAAACATAACAAGCTTAAGCATTTTTATCAACTTTCTTACCGGTGAAGATCTTGGCCAGATTCGGCATCACTTTTCTTTTCTTCTTAATGATGAACGGGGTCAATCCACCCACCCGTGTCACCGGTGATGACGAGCTACGGGACCTTGATTTTCCTAATGGTGTCAAGTTGCCATTGCTTTTCATTGATCTTCTGACGTATGGAGATTGCTTGTTTTGTCCTTCACCATTTTGCAAATTTCTTAGTTCATTCTCTATCATTTTCTTTGTTGAAAGTGACCTTTCGGTTCGATATGTTTCGTGTTCTTCCTCTACCCTTGTCTCCCTAAGATCTCTTTGAACCATTTCGGTTTTCATCAATATTTCCCTTTCACTAGCCTTGAGAGCTTCAATCCATGCCTCTGCTGCAACAACTTTCTTATCAGCAATCTCTTCGGCTCCAACTGCACGTCCGGTTAAGTACTCGTACTCAAATTTCGATACGGTAATCGTGGAGCTTTGATTAGATGCCGAAGCTCTAGATTGAATTGTGGTCTCTATGAGAGATCTCAGCTTTTCTAGAGCTGACGTCTCTGCTAACTTGACTGCTTCAAGTTCCTCCACAGCTGCCTGCAGGTTTCTCTCGGTTGAGTCTGTTTCGAACTCGGTTTGACAGATTTCTTCTTTGATTTTCGTGATGTCTTCGGTTACAAGAGCCTTTTCTTTCTTTGATGCTTCAGCTTCAGTTCTTAACTGTTCAATTGTCAGGGAAAGATTGGTCACAATTGATTTAGCCTTCTCTTCAGCTGCTGTCACTGCTTCCAACTTCGATTTGGCTCTTAAGAGCTTTGAGTTGAGACTTTTAACTCTCAAATCTGTCTTTTCTTCTGTTTTCTTCAACTTTTCTGTTTCTTCAGCAACAAGTTTCTGCTCATTTCGGATAACATCCATCGATGACATATACCTAAAACCCTCTTCTCGAATCGAAGCCAATTCGTTCTTAGCTTCCAGCAACTCCTTGCTGATCGACTCTGATGAAGGTTTTTGATCCTTAACCTGCTTAAGTTTATCTTGTAAGAGACTAACATCAGACAAAGCGACATTCAATCTTTGTTCCAACTCTACAGTCCGATCGATCTCTTTGACCATGTTATTCATCTTCTTCTTCATTTCATCCATCGTATACGAAAATTCAGCAACTTCTTTCTCTTTTTGAGCTTCGATATCTGCAGTTTCTTTCGATGCCTCGATCCTAGCCAGTTCAACCAGAACATGTTCCTCGTTAGCTGCCTCAATTTCCTTCCTGAGCTCTTCGATATACCTACCATTAGAAATTATTTTCGAGCTTGAATATTCAAACTCCTTCACTGCTCTCGCTTTCTCTGCCATTATAGACTCCATTTCAAGCTTAAGTTCACTGAGTTCATGTTTCACAATCTCCACTTCTTTCATAACTTCGGCATACTGATAACTTTCGAGACTCATAAAAACCGATGCCTTGTCTTCGAGTTTTCCTTTCTTTTTCAAAGATTCAACATCCTTAATCTTTTCCTTCGCCTTAGAATTTGATTCCTCTATCATTGAAGCCAAATCCTTCACCGTTTTCTTTGCACTAAAGAGTTCAGATTCTGCTTTAAACTTTGCTGATTCTGCAATTCTTCTACTCTCTTTATTGGCTCATATCCCTCCTAGCAATATGAAGCTCCCTTGCTTTTGACAGTGGCTTCCGGACAGTTGAACACACAATGGTAAATTAATCAGTCAAAATTGAAACTTTTGTGAATTCCGTTGATTAAAAGCTAGATACTCTTCATAAAAACTATGAAAAAAACCAAAACTATACCTCTGGAAAGGCCTCCTGATTCTGGGGTTTCTTCAGTGAATAATTACCTTCAAGAGTCATTTCTTCATACATATTCACGCAAGAAAGACCTATAAAAACCGGAGCAAATGGCCTGGAATTACAATAATAATCCTTCTATATATCAATTTTACATATTATTAACATCCCCTCAACAGCAAACATGTTAAAACTGAAAGGAAACGGAAGTTAAAACTAAGAAGAGATGACAACATACCAAGAAATTGTGGGTGGAGTTTAGAACATAATAAATGGTGACCGGAGACTAAACCTGCAATGAAATTGAAATTTGTTGAAAGATGTAGAAGAAGAAGATAATGTTTTTGGGATGAGTCAGGGGCAGAGGACAATAGTTTGAATCCCTGGTGATTGGCTAACATTCTTGAATGCAACACTAGCCATAAATAACACCAAACTCCAGCTGTGGGATCGATTTTAATTTTTTTAAAGGATATATTTTTAGGGTAAACTACACATTTAGTATCTGAACTATTACTTTTGTTTTATTTTAGTATTCAAGCTTTAATTTTTTTCAAGACTATACCTAACGTCGTTTAGGTTTTACTTTGGTATCCAAGCGATCTCAGTGATTAAAAATTTGTTTTTGGGTTCGAGCAACGTATGCAATGGTATGATCCTTCATTGCTAAAAGATTAAATCTTTGAACATATATTACCTTGTATTTACACCAAATTTATAAAAAATATATTACAAATTAATGATAATTAGATTTATCAAACTATTATAAATTAATAATAATTAAACTTATCAAACTATTGCAAAATGATCCTTAAATTTATAAAAAAAATTATCGCTAAATTAACCAATAAACGTCAATAACTACCAAGCCCAAAGCTCGGATGTCACAATCCTCTTTATGCTAATATCATCATGGTAGCTGGGAGGTTATGGGTCTTTATTTAGTTATTTCACAAATATGTGTGAGTAGTGGAGTCATGATGTTCCTTACAGTTCGTTAAAGAAATATGAAATGTTGAAATCTCATGTAGATTTATTAGGGTTGATCTGACTTTTTGGTATAGGGTTGCCCGGTTTTACCATAGAAATTGAGTTGTATCAGAAGTATTCACATATTTCATGAATATGGTGTTCCAAGTAGGGATGGTCACGAGATTCGAATTTAACGGGTTTTGATCTGACTTATTTTTATTTTATAAAAAATAGGTTCGGGTCGGATTCGAGTTTATGGTGAAAAACATCAGATTTAACCTTAAAAATAATGTAATTATATATTATATATTTAGGGATAATTACAATAATGCTCTCTCTATTTTAAAAACTAAAGTCAATATTTTTTTATAAATATATTTATTCTGGGTCAGATCGACTCGAGTTCGGAGTTTATCTAAAAAACGGTCGAGTTTTGGATCGAATGAAGTCACCCTAAATTCAAATCAGGTCGGAATTAGGATGGATGATGTATATTTTCTAGATCGAATCGGACTAGTTAAAACCCGACCCATACCCATTCCTAATTTCAAGTGCCACCTAATTAGGCCAGTTGTAAGTACATTGATGACTTCATGTTGATCGATATATGTGATGATGGTTGGTACTCAAACCCGTTAGTTCCATGTGTAGTTGAGACATCGAGGTAATGAGTAATTATCCTTGAGCATGATACATCCTAAACTAATAAGCTTAAATAAATCATACGATTTGAAATATTTCTAATAATGGTCAAGGATTATTCCCTAAAGAAATATTCTAACTTGAAAGGGGACTCTCCACTCAAACTAATGGGGATGTACTATAAATCGTCGATAAAAGCTCTCATTTCCCCATCATTTGAACCATCGAGAATCGACACCTCTCGAGTTGTATATCAACATGGGTGTATTGCCATATGAACACTTAATATGTGTGGACTTTAGAGCATTACTGATGTTTGGTCACAATGATATAATGGTTGAAAACAATTTAAGAATCATGACCGACATATAGGAATCCCAATGGTTGAAAATTCTAATCACTCATCCCATTGAGCAGCCAAGACCTCTTGACAGCAATGCATTGTCACAGGCAGTTCTAACATTTGACAACAGCACTCACAAGCCTGAAGAAAAGTTGGCAGAACCAGTTTTGAATTGATAAAATTAAGCTTTTTTTTTGTTAATACATATATATGTATATCAGTGATATAATGGGATACATTTATGAAAAGACTAAGATCTTGTATTATACTACTTGCTTCCCCCCCCAAAATAGAATATATTGTCAAGATTTGCTACAATTTCTCTTCATAGAAATTCAAGCACATTTACCATGCCTGATGCAGTTTTATTAAAGCAGGGTTTGGGGACAATTCAAATCCTTGCTGATGCTTTGCCTAAGATTGCTCCTTATGTTTTGATCAACCATCGGGAGGTTCACTTTCTGACTATTACTTTTTACTCGTACGGTATTTTATTTGGCATCCTTATAAATTCATTTAATTCCATACTAATTTATTTGACTCTAGGAGCTTCTTCCTCTGATAATGTGTGCTATCGAGTGACACCCAGATAATGCCACTCGAGACTCATTGACGCACACACTATTCAATTTGATTAAACGTCCAGATGAACAGAAGAGGCGAATTATAATGGATGTATGTTTCAGAGAATCCCATTAGAGCATCAATAGCTACCAGTGTAGATACAGTGGTAAATCTTTTAAACTTCATTTCAGGCATGTGTGAGCCTTGCTAAAAATGTTGGTGGAGGTGAGAACAGAAATAGAACTACTCCCCCAGTGCTGGGAACAAGTGAGTTTCTGGGCTTGCTTATTTCTTCTTTGTCAGTTGTACTTGTAGTAGCCTGATTTCATATTGTTTTGAATGCAGATAAATCAGGTGTATGAGGAGCGCAGGTTGCTTGTTGCTCAATCAAGCGAGGAGCTTGCTGAATTTGTCAGACCCGAGATTCGTGATTCTCTTAGTTTATCTATCGTACAACAACTGATAGAAGATCCAGCAACCGTTGTCCGAGAAGCTGCTGAACACAATCTGGCCTTACTACTTCCACTCTTTCCACATATGGATAGATATTTCCGGGTCAGCCTCACTAAATATGCTTCCAGGCAATCGTGGAGGAGAATTCTGACTTGACAGAATTCTAACCCCATGGTCTATGGACTGGAGCCTTTTCCCCTTAGCATAATATAGTAACTTTAAAAAAATAGAGAAATTATAATAAGAAAACATATAAAACTCTCCACGGCCTTATTTGTATATTGACAGGTTGAGGAGTTGATGTTCCAATTGGCCTGTGATCCATCCGGAGTGGTGGTCGAAACTACACTAAATGAACTACTACCTGCAATAATAAATTGGGGAAACAAGTTTAGACCATATTTTGAGAGTTCTAATCTCTCATATCTTAGCCTCTGCTGAGGTAACTTTTAGCCCTTCGGTTTTATCATTTTCTAGGTAATACCACATTTACAATTTGCCATGCTTTTCCCTCTTACTGTTAATATTTTCAGCGCTGTCCACCTGTTTCTGGAGTTGAAGGATCAGTGGAGTCCCACCTGCTCGATTTAGGTGAACGAGAGCGCTGGAATCTTGATATTTTGTTTAGAATTTTGCAGACTTGCTTCCTTATGTGCATCAGAAAGCAATTGAGACATGCCCATTTTCCTCTGTTTCAGAGTCAAATGGGACAAATTTTTCCAGTTCAATACTTGAAATGTATGCTGGGTAAGCTTTTCCCTTTTCTTTGGTTTCTTTTTCCAGACTTGCACTTTCTTTTATTTATCAGACTTTTGAAATGAGTATATGGATAGATTTGGATAGCTTAGTTGTAAGCTGAAATGATTTTGATTGATTTTATATTCTACTAGGGGACGTGTCGAGTGGCCTGCATTTGAATGGATGCATGTGGACTGCTTTTCTGGTTTGATACAACTGGCTTGTGTGTTACCCCAGAAAGAGGATAGTTTAAGAAACCGAATTACAAAGGTATTTTCTTAATATTGCATTTAATGGGATTTTCTGCTTTCTTTATGCTTGTTCTATTGAAATAATGCTCTTTCTCTTATTGCTAATCTACATCATGACATTGCAGTTTTTATAGGCTGTTTCTGAATGTTTTGGGGAGTCTTATTCGACACACATAATGATTCCAGTATTCTTGATAGCAGTTGGGGATACTGATGATTTGACATTCCCCCCCTCCCCTACATTCATTCTAGAATCAACGCTATTGTCTCCTTAGAATCTTGTTAACCTTTTGTTGTTGCATGTTTTGTGATTGTTGCTTGGGTGCAGGTCTAAAACCAAGAATAGCTGTTGCCAAGAGACTGGCTACTCTAGGTATCCTGCCACTTCTCTTAGCGGGTGTTCTAGGATCTCCTGGTAAGCGTGAACAGTTGGCAGACTACTTGAGGAAGCTATTAGTTGAAGGTGTAGCGAAAGAGAATCATTCTACGACATACAACAACGATATATTGAAAGCCATTGTATGTTTCTCTTTCCTTTAAAACTATTTTGTCTTGCTATACCTCACAATAAGATACTTGCATACATTTCAACAGGTGACATATATTAATGCAGAAGTTGCATCCACACATGGTCTGCCTGCCTTGATTACCCTTGGCTCGGACCAAAACGTGAATGTGAAGAATGCAAGCATAGATGCATTTGGGGCTGTGGCACAACATTTAAACCTGCCGTTGACGTAGATGTAATCTCTCGAACATACAAACTTAAACGTAGTGATGAAATTACATTTTGCCAAAATCCAAATCCAAACATATGATAATAATCGATGATATTAGCTGACAAGTTGATTTGTCCATGATTTGTGTCAGCGTCAAGCAAAATATTAAAATTGTCTATTCAAACAAATTTCAATATATAAATCATTTGTTCGAATTTCAATCAATCATATGATTAAAATTACTTTGATTTAAGACTTAAAATACGAGTATTGACTAAAACCCGACCTATACAAATAAAATATGGATAAATTGTGCATTTAGTACCTAAACTATCCATTTTGATCCTTTTAATACCTAAACTTTCAATTTTTTCAAAATAATACCTAAATTTAGTCTTTGTTTCATTTTTAGTACCAAAACTGAAGTGTTGAAAAAATTGAAAGTTTAGTACCTAAACCATACTTAAGTTTTGAAGAAAAAAATGAAAGTTTAGATACTAAAACGGACCAAACCTGATAGTTTATGTACTAAACACGTTAAGTTTTTAATGACGGCATATTAAAATGAAACAAAAACTAAAAAATAGGTATACTTTTGGAAAAAAAATAAAAATTTAAGTACTAAAACGGACAACAACTAATAGTTCAGATACTAAATGCGTAATTTACCCATAAAATATTGAACTCTGCAGCGAGGGACAAAGTTGGATGATGCAGATCAACGACTGTTCTTACGGTGTTTGATCGTACAGGGAGTGGTTGGTCGGTGGCGCACCGGAGAGTGGAAGTTATGGGTGGCTTATAAGTCTCGTGAAACCTAGGTATAAATCATGTACGGTACATAACGAAATGAGATGCTAATAAGATCATCTATACAGTTGAATGAACGAGACAAAGAACTTACTGATTAATTATTTAACATAAACTCGAGAAATTTTCTACCCAAAGCTTGGTTTGGATTGAAAATTGGCCACATTGACCATTCATTTTGTTCAAGGTCATTTTTCCAAGTTAATATTTTGCTAAATCCTCCAAGTTTCAAATATGAACAAATCTAATTTCTCATCTTTTAACATATTTGCATCTAAAACTCTTATCCAACACATTCAAACATGATCTACAGGGAAGCTTTCCACAGGTAATCTTTTCTAAATTTCATTTTCATTTACGAGAGGAATTACAAAGGTACAAACAACAGGCAGCCCTTTTTCCCTTTGCCATCTTCCCATCTAAACGAGAGATGAAAGAGTGTTAATTTAGCCTATAGTCTCCTATTACTCGGTTAAACTTAACGATCTGTGTATCCATGTTTTTATCAATTTATTTCTTATTTTGTATCATCTGGTATTTAGAATTATCAAGTGTAAGAGCTAATCAAACACATTAGACATGTCCAAATATGATTCATAAACAGATTCAAATTTATCCCTTCCTCTCACCCATTTCGTCTACAATCTAAAAATCCAAAAACTGATTCAATTCCATATTTGTTGAGTTCAAATTATTTTGGGTTTGATTTTGATTTTGACATATGCAAACGAAACGTACACGAAGATGGCTAATTGAACCATTTATGAAGTCAAAACATAAACCATTTGATGTGCTGAAGCGGTTACCTCTACTTATTGCGTTTAACAGCACGCCTTCCTTGGCCTTTCTTCGGCGGTCCCTTACCACGTCTCTTCAACATTTCTAGCTTCAATCGGCGCTCTTCTTCTCCCCTTGCCATGACACGCGGATCGTCATTCTTGATGTCGTACGGGTACCATTCCGCAACCTTGTCACCGATGAGCTTTTTGCGTAGAATCTTATGGGCTGATATCTGCCCCGCCGGGTTAAGTATGTGTCCGAATATTCTAGCTCGAGCTTCACTGACCCCAACTACAACAGCCGAGGCCAACATCTTTTTTAAACCACCCCCGCCACTCATCTTCCAATCGCTTCTGTTGAACGTTCAAAAGAATCTTTCAGCAAATTTTTCTAACCCAAAACTGAATTTAACAACCAGATTTATACCAGAAATTTCCACAGTCTATTTCAATAACAGAATATAGCAGTAGAAATCAATCTTCAAATCAAGTTAGGGTTTTAAAAGTTACCTTATTTAATTTCCTGGTCTGCCGGAAACTTGAAGGCAAGGAACTGGTACAGGTGGAGGAGATGGGAGTGACGAGAGGCTTGCTAGGGCGGCGGGATGTGTGAAAAACAGATGCGAGTAGTATGGTAGGAATACTTATAGTAATATAATTTGGGGTAAACTACACACTTATTACTTAAACTATTATTGTTATTTCATTTTAGCACTCAAACTTTTCACTTTTCAAAACTATTTTATATTTTATTTTGGTACTCTGCAGTTAAAAATTTAACGGTGATGTTAATATGTCACTATAAGATAAGATCACATCATCATTGAAAAATAATAAAATGTCACTTTAACAATCCTGATAATTTTTTAACTTAACAGTCGGATACCAAATTGAAACATAAACTAAATGTTATGTATGATTTTTTAAAAAATAAAGCATAACAAAAATAATAGTTTATATACTACATTCACAATTTACCCAAAAAATGTTAAGCTCATTTTTTACTCATGGACAATGGTTACCTTTCTTTGCTTATGAGTCCAACCACTGGCGAAGGCAGCATACATTAATCGTGTCAATTGACACCCTGAGAGTTTCTAAACTTTCTTTTTCATCCATATAGATTATATATATATACATACTATAATATAAAATAAAAAAAATGACACCCTTTTTAAACATATTATAACATCCTTTAAAAAATAAATTAGCCTCATATTTTTTTAAAATAATAATAATAATAATTTTAAAATTCAATTTTTCCACATAATTTTTTCATATAATTTCTAAATTTGACACCCCAAAATTTTTTTCTAGCTCCGCCTCTGAGTTCAACAATGACGTCATCTCGTTGGACTATGTTCTGTATAGAAAGAACTCAGGTGTGGTGGATGCATGTAATAAGTTGAGGTATATCAGCATGTTCAGTTTTCAAATAGACGTTGTGAGAGATAAAGGGGTGAAGAAGAAGAAGAAGAAGAAGAAGAAGAAGAAGAAGAAGAAGAAGAAGAAGAAGAAGAAGAAGAAGAAGAAGAAGAAGAAGAATAAGAAGAAGAAGAAGAAAAGGATACATATGAGACATGGATTTTATTTTTTATTTTATTTTTTTAATTGTTAACTTAGACTTTTGTTAATGAGTTAACGGGAGTTAACAATCAATGATCAAATTGAACGGATCGATAACATAAGAGATCAAACCCACTTAATTTTTGAATCGATGACCAAAATCAATCAAACCAAAAACATAATGGATCATCTGTTAGTTTACCCTAAATATAGGTTAGGAAAATTATTATTGTTACGTTATTTTTCTTAACCAATTAACAATACAGACACACCTTACGGATGCAACTGCTCAAACCCATAATCTCTAAGGAGAACAACATTTTCTACTAAAATCACTTGATGTATTCATTTATTATTGTTATGTTAGCATGTGATTGTTAGATGTCATTTTAATTAATTAAAATAAAACGTTAAAAATAACTATATTTAAAAATAGAAATAAAAATTATTATTTAATCAAACATTAAAAATATATTTTATCAGCTATAAAAATTTTAATTTATCGAAATAATATCCCAGTTAAATGTAAGTCATCACCTATTATTATTGTTACTATTAGTTAATTGACACTTCCTATTGATTAAATGTCCCTATAAAATTGGTGTACCCCAAGCCTCCAATTCAATTTTAAAAAAAACATAAATTACTTGTATATCTTTGTATTATAAGTAAATTTATAATTAGTTCATCTTATTTTAAAAAAGTTACAATCTAATCATTTTACTTATTTATTGGTACAATCACGTTACTTGGTCATTAAACGTATAATGAACTATAACTATAACTTTATATATATATATATATATATATATACATATATATTACACTTCATAAATACGTAAATAAAATAATAAGAATATTTTATGCTTGAATTATTGCATTAATTGCTTTTACCTCTTCAAGATAATCACTACTTCCTAATGGTTCATTACATATCAGATTAATTTACAAATTGATAATATGGTAAGTTTTCTCTGTTAGCAGAATCCAAACGAAGGTATGATTTTATGTTAAGGATGTAAAATTTTAAGAAGTTATATTAAAAATTTAGGAGTGCAAAATTACAAAAAAAAAAATTAAGAGATATAAAATTAGATCATTAGTAAAAAAAATATCTAAACTATACGAAGAATTTAAAATTTTCAGAGATTACGACCCCAACACCTCATCTTATCTCAGAGAGCACAACAAAGTATGATAACATCATTCTTCGCCGCAAGGTCACTTATATTAGTATAAGATGAAATTGATATTGCACCAAAATATAAGAAATTAGAAAAGAAATCTATAAAAGTTGTAAAAAAAATTGAAAATTTGCTCATAGTTGAGTGACTAAAATGTAAATTTTAAAAAATTTAACACACTTAACAATAAAGTGATCTGATTGTTATCGTTGATAAATAAAGTAACTCAATTGTAATTTTATAACATGTGATAGCTCAATTATAAACTTCATAATACCTATGGGTGTAATTTACCCTTTTCAAATCAAGCCATCGCGTGTGTTTTTTTCTCTTTTTATTTTCATGCGACTCCTGCACTCTTCCAAAGGTCACCAATCGCTAAAAAATGATCTGATCGTACATTATGAAATGCATAATCAAATAAAAAAGAAAAACGACATTATCAAGGCGGATCTTGAGCTCTTTTCTTTGTTTGCTGACTATAAATCAAGAGTAAAACAACACAAGATTGGAACAATTAAAGAACGACATTGCTTGCTGAAAATTAAAAAAGGAAGCCAAGTTCAATCATCTTCTCCAATGGCTTCATTCGGTTTCAGTTGTCCAACAAGCTCTTTGCTTTTCTCTCCATCTGTCGTTAACCATCGAAGAGCCTTGCAGGGTCGTTTCATTGCCAGCTCCAGCACTAGCAGCAGTGAGCTGATGAGCCAATCATCAGTTAGTGAAACAACTGAAAGGCCAAGAACAAGCTTGGGATTGAAGAACTTGACTGAGATTTTCTGGGTTGATGTTCATAGTGCTGAAGGGAGACCACTGAATGTTGGGCTTCAAGAACCGGTGACCATTGGGTGTTCGACGCTTGAACAGGTTGAGAATGTGGCTGTCCGAGTTGAACTCAGCAATGGCTGTGTTGGGTGGGGTGAGATTCCAGTGGTTCCTTGGGTTAACTGGAACCAAGCTACTGTTCTTGAGAAAGTGAGAGAAGCTTGTGAATCTCTTAGCCAGGGACCTCCAGTGACTTTGAATTTGGTTTTACAGCAGATTTCAGAAATGTTTCCTGGCAGCGAATTTGCTTCTGTAAGTTTATTATATGTTCAATATGTACTAGCATTACAAGAACCTGTCATTTTTTCTTGAAATATCCATGGCACTGCACTCATTTCTCATGGATATGGGTTGACTGTCTAATATCTTTCATATCATTCAAAAATTAGAAAAATCTAATTATGCCTGGTATTCTCACGTCCAATACTCTCTCATATCTGTTTACATAGGAGAAAGAGAAAAACAAACCAAGTAATTTGTTTGGTCGCCTTTGTATTGGATCCTTCTTATGATTTTAACATGTGTATGAAGGTTAGAGCTGGATTAGAAATGGCATTGATTGATGCGGTTGCTAATAGCATTGATGTTCCCCTATGGAGATTATTCGGGGGAGTCTCCAATTCCTTGTCCACTGCTGCTACAGTTAAGTAATGCATATGGGATTTGAATTCTTTATTTTTAAAAGTTTTCTCATGATTAGAAAGTCTTAGAGAACCATCTCTTCGTATTCATATATGAATATGTGTTGAACATGAATATTGGATTCAATTACGAATAAATGAAATAGAACCAACATAGCACATTACATTATAAAGACAGAGAGACTGTCCTAAGTATCAGTTTCATGGTTGTGATGGAGGCTAATAATTTCCATATGTACAGATTCCAACTACTTCCTCGGCTAAAGCATTCGATCTGGCTGCTAAATATTGCAAACTGGGATTCAAGACATTGGAGATTAAACTAGGAAGGAGCCTAAATGCAGATATTGAAGTTCTTCAAGCAGTAAGAGCAGCTCACCCTCATTGTTTATTTATCTTAGATGCAAACGAGGGTTACACTCCAGAGGAAGCCATTGAAGTTCTGGATAAACTAAATGGTAAGGAATTTTCAAACATGACAAGTTATATTACAATAAGATAATGATCTATGTATTTGGAAGGTCCTCCTTGAAGGGTACTATCCCGTGTCCATATCTAGATATGCATCGAAAAAGAATATTTTAAGGGGAAAAATGAAGAATCAAATGACAGTTTGTTGTATGCAGTTGACTTAGTTGAATTCATCTTATTGCAGAAAAAGGGGTGACTCCTATACTCTTTGTACAACCAGTTCACAGAGATGACTGGAGAGGCCTTGGTGATGTGAGTAATGTTGCAAGGCATAAGTATGGGATATCTGTTGTAGCAGATGAAAGTTGCAGAGATTTGATTGACATTCAAAAACTTACGGAGGAAAATCTTGTGGATGTTGTCAACATTAAATTATCCAAATTCGGGATTCTTGGTATCCTTGAAATTGTTGAAATGGTTAAAAACTCTGGATTGGAACTTATGATTGATAGTGTGGCCGAAACTAGACTTGCCACTGGTGTTGCTGGTCATTTAGCAGCTGGCCTTGGTTGCTTCAAGTAAGTATGCCTCTTCATTCATTTCTTCTGGGAATCGTAACTTGCATTTGATGTTATCCTATGTTGCTCGGATAAGCGGGAGAGTCGAATATCAGTATGTATCCTCGTATTTTTATATTTTGAATGTTGTTACAGTGTTACTCTATCATGCTCACATTTGAAAAATGTGACGGATATGGTATCCGACATGAATACTCCGAAAATAATGAAGAGATGGAACAACATCAATGTCATCTATTACTTGTATATGTCATTTTGAATTACATCAGTTAAAGTTTCAACATACATATTATGTTGATTTTTTTTGTTTCTTAAATTCCTTCGTTTCTTTCTTCTGGGAATAGTAATTTGCATGTGATATTGCTGGATTTATTAAATATGGATACGTATTTTTTTTTTACATAATCATATATTTAGAAGGTTTTTGGAGGGTCATATCCTCGTACCCATGTTTAAAAATATGTCAGATATGGTAGCAAACACAAATACTTCAAAAAAGGAAAAAGAACCCAAAGGAACATAGATATTGTCCATTGTTTATATCTAGAATTTCGAAGTAAATAAGTAAAAATTTCAAACAAATCAAAGTATTAAGTTCTGATGCAACTTTGTTGCAGATATGTTAATATTAGTGCACCCATTTTGTTCTCAGAAGATCCAGTTGTGGGAGGTTATGAAGGTACAGTTTCTTTTATTTATATACATATTTGGAATTCATTTCTCTTTTAAGTGTATGGTTTATATGCGATATGTGTTCGACACTAGTATGGTTATTTTTTTAAGTTCTTTCGTGTATTTAGAGAATTCTTGGAGATCATATGTCTATACTCGTGTCACATACGAGTGTCGAACACATGTACTTTGGAAAATAATAATAATAGTATGAACAGCATAGCTTCCGAAAACATATGATTAACATATTCAGTCTTTGCTGTGCTAGTTTCTGGCTCAAATTACAAGTTTATCAATAGCAGAGGGCAAGGAGGTTTTCTCAAATGGAATTCTCTCTCATGGTGAGTTTACCTTTACTGTAATCACATTTTTAAAGGCTTAAATTATGATTCCATGATACTTTGTGCTCTAGTTGATTACTCTACTAGTCAGTGTAGAAAACATCACAATCATGGATGGATTGAAGGGTGACCGTCGAGGTTGCTCCCTTGAAAATTTTAAATTCTCATATAATTTGGATATTTTCTATTCATAATTTGTTTTCACCCCTAAATTTTATAAGCTTTCCCTTCCTAATTTCCTATAGTAAAATCTTGCGTCTTTCCCTGATGACAACACGTATACTAGAACATATAATCCAAGGAAGTAGCAATACCCCGGAAATAATTTATTTTCTGCGCTTGAATTGTGTTTTTTGTTATTTATATTTGGATAAGTGTATGTTGTTAATCAGGATATGTTGAATATTCTGCAGAAATGGACTGGATTTTGCTGTGGAGTGGGATATTTCAATGGTTATGTGCTTTGTAAGTATGCAATATCCCCATGTATCATTAGGTAAACAATGGTTGAATATGAAAAATCTGAATTATTGTAATAAGAAATTTAAATAGCTCAGTTGTGCATCCAAATGAAACATTGCATTGATCCTGCAATTTAAATCTCTGATTCCTGTATATATTGAAGTTTTCCCCCAAGGAAAGCTCTGCCTACTCTCTGTGGATTGAGTTTTAAATAATTTTCTTTATTTCAAATTCAGGTTGGGTCAACAGCAATTACTATCTAATTATAGTTTTTATCATTTAAATTTAATTGTTTTAATTGTAAAATAAAGGAGAAATGGGCAGGGTTATCTATGCTGTCCATCTTGAGGAAAATATTAAGGGTAAGTTACAAATTTCATCTCTCAACTTTTTTCTCAATTTTATTTAGGTCACTAAAGTTTTTTTTTAATTTACTCATTGACCTTTCAATTTGCTCTTATTTTGGTCACTCTGTCGTTAAATACTTAACGGTAATACGACTAAACAATTTTCTTTTAAAAATTATGAAATTACCCCAAAATTTTCTTCAATTTTGTGTGTGAAAAAATTCATAGTTTTGAATTTCCTTTGATTTCACGATAATGAAACATCTACTTCCAAATCTTAATGGTGGGGAAGTGAAGGAGGAAGTGGGCATAACATAAGCTAGACTATAGGGGGCAATGCCACCCAAAATTTATTTTTTTTAGCTTAGGCCCTTAATTTTTTTTAATTTCAATTTGACCCCCCAAATTTTTAGAAATTCAAATTAAATTTTAATCTTCTTAATTAGACCCCTCCTATAATTTAAAAAAATTCTCTTTAAGTCTCTCAAAATTTCAAAAATTGTAGTTAGATCTTATTTTTTTTTGGAAAAATATAAACTAAACCCTTCAAAAAATTAAAAAATCTTAATTTAAACCTTTAAACTTTTTAAAATGTTAAGTTGGCCTCCAAGACTATTATCAAATTTCGCCACCGGAAGCGGGTTGTATATATTGATTATATGTTGATCGAATGTTGAATATTGTAGATCGTGGTGTTTAGGGTTTTATGAGTTTTTAGTTTAGGATCGAGTTTTATGTGTTTAAAGTGATTTGTTTAAAATCTAAACTGGTGGAGTGATAGAAGACAATGAAACGAGTTTGTCGATATCTTGAGTGATTGCAGAAGATGCAGGAGAATGACATGAAATTGTAAAACTTTCATCTTTGGAGAAAGATAATAAAATAAATAAAAAAGGGAAAATGATATGAATGACAAATGAATTCCATACGAATAAAAAACAATCTGCATCGGTACACTTGGCTATCATGTCACCATTTCATTTATAATTTAACGCACGAGAGATGAAAATAGGAACAAATTAAAATTTCAGTGAATAAATTAAAAAATTTAAACTTTAGTGATCAAAATAAGAGTGATAGTAGAGTGATAAAAATTTATCATTTATCCAATTATTAATGATAACATAATTAACCCCCATTGATATGCAAAACTGTTTTCCAAGCCAAATTTCTTGAGGTTTTTGCCCATTTGAAGTGGATATGATCCGATTACACCAACCGTGTTGACTCCTGCTGCATCCCACCTCGTTTTTTCAGCCTCGAGAAATTTCTGTGCAACTTCATATGGCTCATTGCGCGTTTAGTGTCTCCAAGTCCATCTTTAGTCTCCTTTGTGTTTTGTTTTTCTCACTACACTCCCAACACTTTCCGTATTGAAAGTCTGCATTTACTTCTAATATCAACTGTGATTCACTCCACACGACACGGCCGAGACTTTGGAAAAAAATATACCATAAAAATGATGGAGGCTCAAAGTCTTTACAAGTCAACTGCTCTCTATTCCAAATTCTCTTTCTTCTTTTATCACTTTCACTTTCCTTCAAATTTCATAAGAGCTGAGCTTAGCAAAGCAGAGGCAGTCATACCTTTCTTCCATCTCTGCTCTGGCAAACAAAATGACTTATCTTTCTTTCTCATCGTCTCTGCCTACTCTTATGTTTTCCCTATTGTTTCTCGTGTCTGGGTTTCCTGTTTCACACAGCAATCCTGAAATTTACACTAACTGCCATGATGCAGTGTTCGAATGTGGGAACATCTCCATCGGATATCCTTTCTTCGGAGGTAATCGACAACCACTGTGCGGACATCCTGCTTTGAAGCTTCTCTGTGACGATGATACCACCACCATTGAAATCGCTGGTGTAGAATATCAGGTGCTGAACATCAGCCATGAACACCAAACTCTAACCATTGTGAGGGAGGACTTGTTCGAACATAGCTTTTGTAGACTTCAAACCCCAATCCGAGATTTCATCATAGATTCTAAGCTGTTTTATCCTGTTCCTGGATATACCAATGTTACTCTGTTTTATGACTGCCCATCCTTTGTCCCGTCGAACCTTGGGATCTTCAATTGCACTCATTCAGATTACAGCAATGTTTCCGTAACTACAGATGGTGTCGATCCAGGTGGATGTTCAGCTCGTGTTAGTTTTCCAATTTCCCGCCCTTCCGGGGGAAGTTTTCAGTTTCAGAACGACTATCACTTGCTGTCAGAAGCATTGAAAAAGGGGTTTCAGGTGAAATGGAAGGAGGATACCGAAGCTTGCCGCAACTGCAACGCTTCCGGCGGAGCCTGCGGTTTTGACTGGTTGAACAATCAAACAATCTGCTACTGCAGATTTCCGAATTCGCCGGAGTATCCCAACGAATGCCATGGCCATGGTACGCATCTTTGTTGTATTTTTAATATTTTTTAAATAATATAGAATAATTATAAAGTAACATTGATTTAAATTTTTTAATTAATTCATAACGTAATATAGTTACTTAAATATAAGGCTTTTCAATGAATAATTTTTTTCCTGTTAAAGCCAAACCATTTAAATAGTTCTTATTGTTGAAGCCATTTAACAGTTCTTGTATGTTTAATTTTTTAGTTAATTTATTAAGTAGTGTAGTTATATATATATATATAATTAATTTTATTCTTAATTAATAAAAAAATGTCAATTAAAAATTGATTTGAACCAACTTAAAACAGTCATTTCATCCATTGGTAAATTGGACTCTTTTCAAATTCCACCGCTGATTAAGAGATTTGCACTTAGGTTTATTTGAAAAACAAAATGAAATTATATATTTTTTTATTTATGTAAAGCTTTTTTTTATTAAAATAAATAATGAATAATTTATTTCATTTTTATTTTCATATTTTCAGTAACATAAATTAAGTGTTTAAATTTATAAAATAAATAACATATTATATTTTTATTGTAGATTATTAAAGTTTTTTTATCAAATTTTTATTGAATTTTTTTTGTTAATGAACACACCCATGAAACTTAAAACTGAGAACGAAATAAAATATTGTAACACCCCAAACCGATGCGGGTAGCCCGATCCGATTCGGGAAGTCACATTAGGGCCACCGGAGCGACCCACCGTAAAAATAGCGGAAATTTTAAAACTTTTTATCAGAACATGTAAACTTATAAAATCATTTATCACTATTTAAAAATAAAACAGATTTACAAACTCGTATATAAATCAAAATACAATTACATGCCCCCTAATCACAAGTACCATACTCTGCAACCACGCCGGAAGAACTCCCTTACTGAAGTCGATAAATGCACTGGTACAATTGTTTTAACCTGAAAAGGTGAGTAATAGAGTGAGCTTTGGAAAGCTCAGTAATACAGAACTACCAGATGATGCTACATGACATGTAGATAAATGGAAAGCCATATAATTTCCTTATTGAATCATATGTATACCAGCTTGCAGAATAATTTGGGGTTCCCTTAGAAGTTCATCGAGTAGAAGCCATGAATCTCAGTTCATAAGAAACCTTTCAAAGTATGACATTTTCAGGAGATCGAATAGGATGTCTAGTGTGTTCCAACAGTATAATAAAATCATAATAGGTACAAATCATAGTCCAGTAAATCTCACAATTTCGTAAAAGAGTTTAACTTTTGAAAATCATAGTTTAAACCCTTTTCTGGTACACCATCAATAGTTCCCAAAAATTATTTTCCATATAGCTTACTTTATGCACATAGCAAAAAGAAAGCCGACTTAAGGATAGGCTATGAAGCTTGTATCCTTAAGCCCAAGTCAATAAGTCCATATAGCTTACCCTAAGCACACAGCAAAGGAAAGCCGACCTAATGAAACATCTTGGGGCCCTCAAGAGTCACATTAGGCCCAATTAGCTTGATCAGAGCTATTCCATCGTAATTCAATTCCAAAATTCAATTGCACCGTGACACAAATTCCATAAATCCAAAAACATGGTAATCATATACCATTTCAAAACAAAAATTAGATAGCAGCCATATTCCATAAATTGTCACATTAAATTGGTGCATCAATAAAACAATAACCAATGAATTCGGTGTACCACATATTAAAACCAATAAAACAGTTCAGTAATAAATAGGGAACACACTAGAGAATCCCAGTATTTCCAGAGGCCATTGTAGTTATCATTTTGGATAACATGAAACTTATGAAATTTGATCGAATTCCTGGAACAAGGTCCTATTGAGGAGAATCGATTACTAACCGATCTAGCCAGACATTTAATGTTGATACATTAGAATCCCACTATATTTTCGTGTGCTTTAGGAAAACGTTCAGGAACCTTTATACATAATAATTCTAAATTCAGATTTACTGCGAGTGATTCCATTACCCAAACAATCAGGGGTATTCAGGAATATACTTTAAAATTCATAGGATTTCAGCCCAATTGAACCAAATGAGATATTCAGAATCTTTTCCATCTGCGTTACTTGTTTTTTTTTCAAACATGACCGAAGTGATTTTAGATGAAATATAGAATCGAAGATTCAAGTCATTTACAATCTACGACTATCGATCATATTATCAAACAACTCGAGTTACACAACTCTCAAACTGATGCATGTCAACAAGTCAATTCATTATCCTTCCAGTGTATTCACTCTTTAATACCATAGTGCAGATCCATAGATCATCCCCATAATCATCACTGAATAAATCTTCCAACGGTCTTTATTTCATTTCCACGTTTCAACAATATCAGGAAATACTGACGTACTTGATCAATGGCTCATAACCCATAATGACAATTCATCATGTAAGTTCAACAGTGTTTCCAAACTCATCAAATCACCTATTTAATCCTTACTCATTGATGTTACTTAGTTCGTTTGGTAAGCAAGTCTATCCCGATTACTTTAAAGTTTTCCAGAATAATTCAGACGTTTCTGAATTTCAAATACACGTTGTACTACATTTCATTTCAATTTATTCATATAATAAAGTCATTCTGGTATTCGTGGTTGATTTGACTAACGACTACCCACTTATTAGTACTGTATGCGCTCTAGAGTTGAGCTGCGCCAAGTACTTCCAGAATTATCATCGATCCAAATTTGAGCAGATGAACAAACATTCAAGTGATACTTATATCATTCACGTAATGATATAGTACTAACATTGGTTAATCACTTAAGTTGCGTTTCACAACTTTTACTGGTAGCACAACATCCATGTTTATTTGGATTTCTTAATTAATCCAAGACATTTACTTATTCTAGGTCATAAGGGCATTTTGGTCATTTTGGTGCTTAACATTTTTTTCTATTCATTTCAAAGCTTGAGTATATCCATTCATTCCTAAGCTTGGTGACATTCTTGAGTTATTTCCATTCCAGGGGTAATTTGGTCATTTTATAATTCTAGAATATTTCAATCATTTCCTTTCATCCGATCTTATTATTTAATTCAATCTTATCATTTACTTCAGTCCTTTCGAACAATTCTGTCAGCAGAATACCTCCAATAAATTACTCTTCAAGTATTTACTCCTTATTCGAATATTTTCGGGTCAAGTGTCTTCTCAGATTTTACAAACGAAATATTATAAATTTTTCTGTACAAAGACATGATCTTAACAATTAAATTCGTACTTAATCGAGTTAAGTACAAATCCTCAAAGTACTCTCTCATTCAGGGTCAATTCAGACTATTTTATCTCTCAAGGGCATTTTCGTAATTTCTTAACCAAATAATTTCAATATTAGCACTTAACGAAAAATAATTATAATTTAGAGATCCTATGATCAATTGCTTTCCCGAACATTCTTTGATTTTGAAATGATTCCTTCACAAACTCTCGTAGGATTAAAACCGGTTATCCATAATTTCCAAATAAAACTAACATTTCTTATGCACGTCAGTAGTTATATCGGATCAATATGTCTTTTCAGAGTTATTAACCAACTTCCAGGGGCAATTCTTATCATTTTCCAACATAAGGGTAATTTCGTAATTTTACCATATCAGAGTATTCTCATAATTTTTCATCCAAGTATCTTTAACATTTAACCCTTGATGATATAAAATATAAGTTATAATTCCAGAGCTGATTTCTTTATCACCAATCACAAACTTGTAATTTAATTCTAACAATTATCCATCTCTTATCTTAGTCATTCGATCCGTATTCAGTTACAGAATTTCTACCACATTCATATCGAGTGAATAAATTATTCAACTCCACAAAAGTGACCAACATTATCTTATTCATGCATTTACCAATATCAACATGTTCCATAAAGCATAAAGAGGTAGTAAAGTATTACCTCGATTTCCGTGCAATACCGATCGACCATAAAAATTCCATTCGAATGCCTTTGATCTTCAATTCAACTTCAAATAATTCCTCAGATACATATCAACATAAATTATATAAAAAAACGGAGCTTAATTGCGATAAACGGATCAAATCGGGTGATAAATCAGTGAAAGACGGCTTACCGGGTTCGAATTTGGCGAAACGGACTTCGGATTCGGATTCAGGACGTTGAAAGCATAAAATGTAACTTTTCGGAAATTTGGAAATTTCAGTCAAAATCAAAGTCAACGGGTTTGACCGGATATATCGAGGCCTTCGGGTTCTAATTTCGAAAAACGAACAGCGGAATCGGATTTGGAACGTCGAAAAATGTCAGGATAGGTATACTCGGTCGAAGTCAAAGGTCGTTTAATGCCCGGTCAAAGCCAGTCAAAGTTTTGGTCAATAGTGGTCAACGACGGTCAACGGTCAACGGGTCAACGGGTCGAGTCAACTGGTCGGGTCGGATAAACGGGTCGGGTAAACGGGTCGGGTCGGGTCGGGTAAACGGGTCGGGTTGTGACCCGTCAAACCGGTCAACTATGCACCAAAACCGGTCAAACCGGTCATTTTTTTCTTCCCCACGCGCAGTGGCGGCGCGTGGGGGCGCGTGAACAGTGCTAAAATCCCGGAAAAATTTCTAAAAATTATTTTGAGCGATTTCGAGATACTTACAAAGCTCGGTTCACAATTTTGAACGGCGGAGAGCTCGATTTCAACAAATCGGAAACTTTGACCGCTTCACCTCCTCACGCGCCGCCGTCGACGGAGACCAATGATGACACCGGCAAACTCGGAACGATGCAACGAACACGATGGTGCGGGAGGTGTCGTAAACAGATGACCCGATCGTCGTGAATCTATGAAAAACCAACTAAAACCGAGTTATTACCGACGATACTTCCGACTGAAATTCACGACGAACGGCGATGATTCACGACGAAAGGTTTGAGGGGTTTTGTTCCTCGATTGACAACGAACACGATGGTGGTTTCGGCTCGTCATTTGGAGGTCGGACGGCGAGTAGATCGGAGTTGGAAGTTGGGTTGTTGGA